TTGTTCAGTCTGGAAAGTGATATATGTTTTTCTTTGTTAAGCCAGATATATAGAGTTTACCCGCCTGAATGTCATATAACGTAGTTAACCCTGTTGAGCCTATAATCCTGTTTCTTTGGTAACCACATTACAAGCCGTACCCCTTTGTTTGAATCGACCATATATGTGAACCTTGTCACCTCTCATGAGCACTTGGATTGTGATAAATTATGTAAAAGTTAAAGTGTGGGGTGGTGGTTTGGCTTTTGAGTGAAACAAATGAAATAAGGAGAAAGGTGCACCATTTGAAAGAAAGAAAAAAAATATGTCAATAAAAGCCACTTGGATTGAAAGAAAAAAAAGAGAAAAAAAAAGAAGAAGAAAAATAAAATAGTTGTATTGTATGAAAAATAATTCTTGATGGTGGTGGCTAGTGATATACTTGTGCTTAAAGAAGTATGGGGTAATATAAATTGAAGTGAAGGTGGAATTCTGGTTTAACATAAGTATGGGCTGCAATATTAAAGTATATGTATTAAAGTGCTTGAGGGAAGTGTAGTCACTCATATCCAAATGTATCCTACTCGACCCTCAGCCTACAATACAACCAATTAAAGTCCTACTTGATCCTAAACTGAATGAGCTCGATTAGTAGAGTATTACACTGCGGGCAAGCCTATGGTGCATCATTTGTGGCATATCAATGTTATTTCTGAGAGCGAGTGAATTTTTCCTATATTGAGTTCCTACGTTCTTAAAATTCATTATGTGTGGAACTAAGCTCTTTGTTGGGTGAGGGTACGTGATTCATAAAGGAAAGGATGAATGTTTAAGTGTGGGGTATTGATGTGTGGCTATAATTCCATATTTTAATACATTATTTGCCTTGCATTTTGTATGCTTTAATAATAAACTACACTTTATTTACGCGTAATGGAGTCTATTTTATGTGTAGGTGAATTGGAGATGAAAGTAGAGCAAAAATAATAAATAGAGTCTAAAGCGTGCTCGAAAACAGTTGAAAAGAAGAAAGAAAGAAGTGAGCAGCGGATAAATGATAAAGCTGGCGAAGCAAGCTTAACAGCTCGCATGGGAGCTGGTTGGGCGAGCCTTTTAGCTCGCGTGGGATCAGGCTAGGTGAGGAAGGAGGCGAGGTCCATCTCGCGTTAAGGCTGGCGATGCCAGGTCTGGGGCGAGGTCCTGCTCGCGTGAAGCCTCGCGAGGCGAGGTCTGAGGCGCGCACACTCCGAATTTTGAAGGCTTATTTCGTCTCCTGGTTTGACTAGGACTTGGCCTATGTCATTTAGATCTTTTCCTACATATATAAATAGACATAAAATGCCACTTTTGAATGAGTTTTGCAACCGGATGCAAGGATAGCTCGTGAAACAACTGTTGGAAGTTAGAATCATTGATTTCTACATCATTTCATCTTTACTTTGTAATTTACTTATGCAAAATATCTAGGATATTGTTACTATGAGTATGAGTAGTTAAACTCCTAATCTAGGATTTTGATGGAACCTATTGAAGGATGATTTTCCTGTTACGTTAATATAGATTTGTCGTAGTATTTTCTCTATTTGTTCAACTATATTATTATTGTTGTTGATTGAAGGGCCCTCAATCGACTGTGCCTATTTAGTGTCTATTAGTCGGGAGAGAGTGTATATTTAGGTAATTGTTGAACAACATCACTCCTAATGTATATGAGGGATTAATACGGAGGGTTTAATTATGGGATTAGGGATAACGAAATCTTGGTGCGATCCGAGTGAGCCGTACTTAATGCCAGCTAGCGTAATTCGGGAGAATATGCCTAGTAAATTGTGGTAGTTACTCGGAAGAGAATTATAACACTCAGAGCGTTCATGATCGGTAGAGAAGACTTAGGTAAATTTATAGAAAACGTAGCGGAAAGGATTCCGACAATAGTAAAAATCATAACCTTAGATCATTCCAATTCTTGTCTACAACCCGTTCGTAGTTAGTTATTAATTATTACATTTTTATTACATGATATTTAGTTAGTAAACATCAAATTTGTTACTTAAATATTTCTGAAGATTGATTGCGTGAATTTATGCGAGTTTAGTAGCTGCGTTTAATAGGTTAATTCCCTGTGGGATTTGACTCCGGACTTATTAACCGGAATATATTTGCAACGACCGCTAAGTCCTTTTTACAAGGCATAGTTGGGCGTGATTAAATAGTTTCAGATTTTAAATTCAATCTCATGTCTGTTCACAGATTATGCACATAGTTTAAATCCATTCTTACCCTCTCTGATTCTTTCTGTTTCTTGCAGTGCCTTTCCTTGAGGAGGCCTCTGATTCTCCGTGTATAAAAAATAAAACTGAATCAATCATTCCATCTTCCATTGTAAACACTTCTACTACATCTAATGTTTCATATTCTATGAGTAGTTCTTTGATTTTTATGGCATGTAAGACTTGGTCATTTACCTATTTCTGCTATGAGACATATTCTTGGTTGCACTCAATCTAATTCCACACATGCTATTTTTTTCTTGTACCATCTGTCCTATGGCTAGACAACACAAATTATCTGTTCCTAATAGCACCACTTCTACCTCTCACATCTTTTAACTTATCCACATAGACACTTGGGGCCCTTATAAAACACCCACACATAATGGGTTTAAGTATTTTCTTACTATTGTTGATGACTATAGTAGGGGTACTTGGACATAATTGTTAGTACTAAGAGTAATGCCTTTATAGTGATTCAATCTTTTTTTTATATGGTTGAGAGGCAATTTGATACTAAAGTCAAGACCATAAGGTCTGACAATGCATTTGAACTAGGAAGAAGTGTTGCAGCCATCACCTACTTTCTTCTAAGGGCATTTTACACCAAACATCATGTGTTGGTACCCCTCAAAAAAATGGCATTATTGAATAAAAATACAAACACTTAGTGGAAACTTGTAGAGCCCTTCCTTTTCATTTAAATGTCCCTATTGACTTTTGGGGAGAATGTCTACTAACAACAACTTTTCTCATCAATAGGTTTCCCTCTAAATTACTTCATTATAAAACTCCCGATGAGATTTTATTTCAGAAGCCTCCTAATTACAGTTTACTCAAATATTTTGGGTGCTTATGTTTTGCCTCTACTTTACCACATCATATAGGGAAATTGGATCCTAGAGCAACTGCTTGTGTGTTCATTGGATACCTTTTTGGGAAGAAGGGATATAAGTTGGTGGACCTACAAACTAGAAATATTTTTACTTCCAGAAATATCATTTTCATGAATCAATTTTTCCATTCTCGAATCCACAGACTAAGTTTCATTACCCTTTATTTCCTACAGAATCTTCCTCTCATTATTATATGCCTATCTCATCCCAGTTTGGTCATTCAGATGATTCTCCTACTCCAGTTTCATCTTCTCCTCTGCATTCTAGTCATTCCTTTCCTAATTCTCCTATCCAGTCTTCTCTTATTCCTTCTTCTCATATGCTTCCTACTCCTTCCTCTACTACTTCCCCTATCCAATCCTCTCCTACTCTTTCTCCTTCCAGTTCATCCTCACATTTTTCTTCTTCTTCTTCTTCTTCTTCTTCTTCTTCTTCTTCTTCTTCTCATTATCCTTTTATTCCCGACTATTCTTTTTCTTCACCATAATCAACACCTCCTATTGAAACTGCCTTGCACTGGTCCTTGAGGGATCACAAAATACCTGCTTACCTATTTTCACTCCTTGTTCTCTCTCTCCTATTTCTCCAATGCAATTTTCTTTCAGTGCATTATCTTCTTCTAACCAAAAACTACTCACTTCTCTTTTCCTCATTCAAGAGCCCTCTTCATATTCCCAGGCAGCCATACATCCAGGCTGGCAATAAGCTATGACCAAAGAAATTAATGCCTTAGTCACCAATGAGACCTGGGAAGTGGTTCCTTTACCACAAGGTAGGAAGGCACTACCTTGTAAATGGGTTTACAAAGTGAAACTCAAGTTTGATGGTAGCGTGGAGAGATTAAAAGCTCGACTGGTCATTAGAGGGGACATACAAAGGGAAGGGATTGATTTCACATAGACTTTCTCTCATGTGGTCAAAATGACCACCATTCGATGTATCTTAGCCTTGGCAGTGAAGAAGAATTGGGGGTTGTATCAGTTGGATGTTAATAACGCCTTTCTATATGGTGATTTTCACGAAGAGGTGTATATGAAGTTCCCTGCTGGGTTACTACCTCTTTTACCTAATATGGTTTGTCGACTTAAGAAGTATTTATATAGGCTTCGTCAAGCCTCAAGGCAGTGGTATGTTAGGTTGACATCTGCCTTGAATTTTAAAGGATTCACTCACTCTTTAAATGACTATTCTCTTTTTTTTATAAAAAGGTTGGTTCCTTCTTTGGTGGCCATTTATGTCTATGACATACTTCTAACGGGGAATGACATGCAAGAGTTGAATGAGCTTAAGCATTTTTTAGACTCAGAATTCAAAATTAAGGATTTGGGATGCTTATCTTACTTCTTAGGGATAAAAGTACTTCGCCTTGATTTTGGTCTGATTTTGAGCAAGCGCAAATTCATGTTGTGAATTTGTTTGTTATGGTTTGTCTCCAGCTAGTTCCCCTTTAGATCCCTCGTGCAAACTTCATGCTGATCAGGGTGATCTTTTGTCTGATCCTACTTTGTATCGCAGCTTATTGGGCAATTTGAATTTTTTGACTAACACACGCCCAAATTTGTCATTTGTAGTCCAACATCTAAGCCAGTTCATACAGACCCCTCGTGTTCCTCATCTTGATGCTGCCAAACATTGCCTCCGCTACCTTCTTCGTGAACCTGGTATGTGGCTTTTTATGTCTGATTCTCCTTCCTTTGAGCTTATTGCTTTATGTGATTCTGACTGGGGTTCTTGCCCTGATTCTCGACGTTCCATTAGTGGTTTCTTCATCAGTCTTGGTGGGTGCCCGATTTCGTGGAAATCAAAGAAATAACCCTCTGTTTCTTTGTCTTTCACGAAGGCTGAGTATCGCTCTATGCATCGCGTCGTTGCTGAGCTTACTTGGCTTGCCCATTTACTTGACTATCTCTCCATTTCGCCCCAGTTGCCGGTTGCTCTCCACTCTGACAGTCAGGCAGCCATACATATCGCCAAAAACCCTGTCTTTCACGAGCGCACCAAGCATGTTGAGCTCGATTACCATTTCGTGAGGCAGCAATTCCAGGCCGGCCTTATCTCTTTTCTGGGCCTCTCATTGGGATTTACTGGGCAAGTTGGGCGTTCTTCTCCCCCTCCCAACTTGAGGAGGGGGTGTTGGAGACATTGCATCTAAAGATTTGGATACAGGTTGAAGGCGGCTAGGTTACACTTCTAATGGCTGTGAGATACATAGTTGTCAAGACAAAATTTCGGTTTATTTTTGAAGGTGATCAAAAAGATTCGACGAAAACCGGAGTTCTTTTATTTTAACTCTTCATGTGTCATGATCCAGTGCAACACTCTCAATTTAGTTCTCTAATCTCACCCGATATTTTTAGCCCATTGAATTTTGTACAGTTTGGTGGTTTTTTATAGTTGCAACATTTGTTTCAAGGATGTCAAATTAGTGTAGATATTGACGTAGCTATATATGGAATTATATAGTTTGTGTTGAAAAAGACAAGTATTGCAGCAGAGGAAGAGTCATAACTCCTCATAATGAAAGGAAGGACCCAAGCCACCAACATGAACATGAAAAAGTCTTAACGTGTTCTTCCTTTCAACATAACAAGTGTGACGTTCTTCTTCTGCTACGCATTTTTACGAGGGACAGAACATAGTATAGCATGGGACACGTTTTTAATTAAATAATACTTTCCTCCGGTCCACTTTGATTTTTTGACTTCTTTTCATGGTTCACAATATTTAATTTTTTCGGATATAAAAAAAAAAATTAGCTTTTTTTTCTAAAGTTGCCCTTGGAGTAAAGAACACCTAGGAGTAGTTTGTTATATTTCCAATGAGCAAATTAAGATTGATATGATCAATTTCACTATTAATTAATGTTAAAAAATAAATTCCTTAATATGTGTGAAAAGAACAAAAATATCACTTAAAGGACCGGAAGGAGTAGTAAATACTACTCTTTTTATTTTATTTTATATATTTGGATATGAAATTTAATATTAGAAAAATAAAGTTTTGACAAATATTAAAAGTATTTCTAAATTAGTACTCTTAATTAGATACGTCATGATATATTCTATGACTATAAAAGTATATATATCATTACACATAAAATAAAAATTTCAAAAAAAAAATTGTTCTTTTCGAAACAAATATTAGACAAAGTAATACTAATGGAATAAAAGAATTGCATGGTAAACAGACAAAAAAGGTATAAATTTCTTTTTTCTTGCTTTTCATCTTACACTTGGAAACTAAGTATAGCTTACTCGACGAGAGAGGTTGCTTCGATAGTGTAATAGCTCCAACGAATGGGAGGGGAATTAAAAAAAAGTATAGCTTACTCCAAATGTTAGGCAAAGGACTTTTCATTTACTAAACCTAATAGTAATTTCTTGTGTCGTATTAGATTTCCTTGTTGACTAATAGTCAAAACGTGCACTTGTTGGTGAAATGTTTCGTCCAGCATAAGGTTCCATAAATGTTGCACTGTCTGTAACATCTCCGTAATTCAAATCCTTTTAATTTGAACAACCGGCTCGTTATAATATAAAATCTTTATATCTTGAGATTAATGTAAAATTAATGATAGAATTCACAGACGTTAATATTATGCGCTTATTATACAATAATTCGTTAGAAGAAGAACCAAACAGTGAGACATCGAATAGGAGGAATGGAGGTTTGGGCTAACAAGTCCTAATCCTAAGGTGATAAATATTAGGGTATTATTACTTTTAACCCATGTCAGAAATTATTTATATTCGGTAGTTGAAAACAACAACAAAAATAATATACCCAGTAATATCCCACACTGTGAGGTTTGGGGTGTAAGATTTTTCTACGTTTATTGATGACCCAATAAGTTTAAGGCCCATAATTAATATTTAATTAATGAGCAAATCCCATCCGTCCGATCAGTTACTTGATGGACGTACCGAATTAAATGAGAACCTCTATAAATTGGTCATCTCTCCACCCATTAGGGTTACAGTATTTTTTTTCTCTCTTCCATCACTAAAGTCAGCGGTAACGAAAGGTAGGGCAAGAGACGAGAAACCAATTTGAATTAACGCTTCCGTTTCACGATGATGGCTTACGATTCAGATATATTTTCTGTACGATTTTATGTAAGATTATCATGTTCAAGATCCTGTAAAAATTAAAGTTTATGTTTACATGTGGTATCGGAGCCTGGATATTTGAACGGATAATTTTCTTGAAAGAAAGACTAGATTATGATGTATGTATAACTGTTCCGACGTGATTATCGAATTGCTTTCAATTCGCCATTATAATTTGTACTGCTTTCGAATCTGAGGCGGCATCGATAATAAATCATTGTTTCAAGGGTTTTCATCGTTTTATTGTGTCTTTGAATTGCCCTGTGAATGTTTACTGATAATGTTTACTTTAAGGTTTCTCTAACATCTAAAGTTGATAAGTCANCTGTGCCATCTAAGGATTAAGTATTAGATATTTAACGTTATTCACAGAAAGTGCTTATTTTAAACAATAATTAATGTATGTGCTTAAAATTATATAGTTTGTTCATCACCAAAGTGATTAAACTAGAATGTTTAAAGTATTCACATGCATAAATCTTGTGATATCTATTTTATGTGTGCATTTATGTTTATATAGTTTGTTAGTCGCCAAAGTGACCAAACTAGTATATTTATGAAAAATATGCATACATAAAATTACAGTTATCCATAAAATGGTAGTTTATCCATAAAACTAATGAAATGCCTATGATTGAATAAATAGATAAACTAACTTTCACTATTGCTAGAACTTAAGGATTTATCCAAAGGTGGATCAATTATTCTATGAATAGTGAGTATGCTGGGGTAAATTAATATTATTTAGTCAAATATATATTGTTTGTCCAAAGATGTCATATATGTTTGGTTAAAAATATTTAATTGCCTACTAAAGACTAAATGGCATTTAAATTATGATAGTGTGTCATAGTATTTACCCAAAGGAGAATTGCGATATGCTTTAACTGTTTTGTTGAATCCATATTGATTTGTGAGCATGTATTATCTATTTTGCAGCTATTCCTTTTCATTCGCTTGCTTCATCTGTTACTGTATTCAACGGATTGAACTTCTCTGAATGGCGTGAACAAGTCCAGTTCCACTTAGGTGTGATGGATCTTGACTTGGCTCTGCTGGATGATAATCCCGCTACCATTACTGATTCGAGCAGTGCGGATGAGAAGTCTTTCCATAAAGCATGGGAATGCTCTAACAGGATAAGCCTTATGTTTATGCGAATGAATATTGCTAACAACATTAAGAGTACTATTCTACAAACAGAAAGTGCCAGGGAATACCTGAAGTTTGTGGAAGAATGTTTTCGTTCTGCAGATAAGTCTCTTGCTGGTACACTAATAGCTGAACTTACGACCATGAAGTTTGATGGGTCGCGTAGTATGCAAAACCATATCATCGAGATGACTAACATTGCAGCAAGACTTCAGACCTTGGGGATGAAAGTGGATGATTCCTTTTTGGTTCAGTTTATTCTGTACTCATTGCCTCCTGAGTATGGACCTTTTGAAATTAACTATAACACTATTAAGGATAAGTGGAATGTTAGTAAATTGTCCGGTATGCTTACTCAGGAGGAGTCAAGACTTAAGAAATAAGGGAGTCATTCAATTAACCTCATGGGTCAAGGAGCTGGTAAAGGATTTAAAGTGAAGCCCAACAAGTTCAAGAAGAAGAAAGCACCTGCTAAAGCTCCACATGATACTAAGAAGGAACATAAGGCAGATACGTATCGTTTGTGTAACAAGGAAGGACACTATCAGAAAGATTGCCTGAAACGTAAAGCTTGGTTCGAAAAGAAAGGTACAATTAGTGCTTTTGTATGTTTCGAATCAAATTTAATAGAAGTTCCTAATAATACTTGGTGGCTTGATTCGGGTGCAACTGCTCATGTATCTACTACGTTGCAGGGATTCCTTATGATCCAAACTACAAATCCAAATAAGAATTTCTTGTTCATGGAAAATCGTATGAAGGCTCCAATTGAATGCATAGGGACTTATCGTTTGATCGTGGAGACTGGACATCACCTTGATCTATTACAGACTCTTTATGTACCTTCAGTTTCTAGGAATTTGATTTCTCCTTCAACACTTGATGTTTCTGGATTTGATTTAACGTTTGAAAATGGATGTTTCAATTTATATAAGAATGCTATTTTTTATGGTATTAGTTTTCTTAGTGATGGGTTATATAAATTGAAACTAGATAATGGTTTTTCTGAAGCCCTTCTTACTGTTCAACATAATGTTGGAATTAAACGTAGTTCACTAGATGAGTAAAGATTAGTAAAGAATGAGACTCTTCCGAATCTAAATTTTACTGATCTTAATATATGTTTGGATTGCATTAAGGGAAAGCAAACCAAGCATAGNGATGATAATCCCGCTACCATTACTGATTCGAGCAGTGCGGATGAGAAGTCTTTCCATAAAGCATGGGAATGCTCTAACAGGATAAGCCTTATGTTTATGCGAATGAATATTGCTAACAACATTAAGAGTACTATTCTACAAACAGAAAGTGCCAGGGAATACCTGAAGTTTGTGGAAGAATGTTTTCGTTCTGCAGATAAGTCTCTTGCTGGTACACTAATAGCTGAACTTACGACCATGAAGTTTGATGGGTCGCGTAGTATGCAAAACCATATCATCGAGATGACTAACATTGCAGCAAGACTTCAGACCTTGGGGATGAAAGTGGATGACTCCTTCTTGGTTCAGTTTATTCTGAACTCGCTACCTCCTGAGTATGGACCTTTTCAAATTAACTATAACACTATTAAGNTCAGACCTTGGGGATGAAAGTGGATGATTCCTTTTTGGTTCAGTTTATTCTGTACTCATTGCCTCCTGAGTATGGACCTTTTGAAATTAACTATAACACTATTAAGGATAAGTGGAATGTTAGTAAATTGTCCGGTATGCTTACTCAGGAGGAGTCAAGACTTAAGAAATAAGGGAGTCATTCAATTAACCTCATGGGTCAAGGAGCTGGTAAAGGATTTAAAGTGAAGCCCAACAAGTTCAAGAAGAAGAAAGCACCTGCTAAAGCTCCACATGATACTAAGAAGGAACATAAGGCAGATACGTATCGTTTGTGTAACAAGGAAGGACACTATCAGAAAGATTGCCTGAAACGTAAAGCTTGGTTCGAAAAGAAAGGTACAATTAGTGCTTTTGTATGTTTCGAATCAAATTTAATAGAAGTTCCTAATAATACTTGGTGGCTTGATTCGGGTGCAACTGCTCATGTATCTACTACGTTGCAGGGATTCCTTATGATCCAAACTACAAATCCAAATAAGAATTTCTTGTTCATGGAAAATCGTATGAAGGCTCCAATTGAATGCATAGGGACTTATCGTTTGATCGTGGAGACTGGACATCACCTTGATCTATTACAGACTCTTTATGTACCTTCAGTTTCTAGGAATTTGATTTCTCTTTCAAGACTTGATGTTTCTGGATTTGATTCAAAGTTTGGAAATGGATGTTTTAATTTATATAAGAATGCTATTTTTTATGGTTCTGGTTTTCTTAGTGATGGTTTATACAAATTGAAACTTGATATTGGTTTTTCTGAATCCCTTCTTAATGTTCAACATAATATTGGAATTAAACGTAGTTCACTAGATGAAAGTTCTGCTTACTTGTGGCATAGACGTTTGGGTCATATATCCAAAGAAAGGTTAAAAAAATTAGTAAAGAATGAGATTCTTCCGAATCTAAATTTTACTGATCTTACTATATGTTTGGATTGCATTAAGGGAAAACAAACCAAGCATAGTAAGAAAGGCACCACAAGAAACACCCAGCTTCTTAAAATTATACACACCGATATTTGTGGACCCTTTGATATTCCATCTTTTGGTGGAGAGAAATATTTTATCACTTTTATCGATAATTTTTTACGTTATGGATACATCTATTTGCTGAAAGAAAAATCTCAAGCAACAGATGTTCTCAAGGTATTTGTTAATGAGGTTGAAAGGCAATTAGATAAAAAGGTAAAAATTATTAGGCTAGATAGAGGTGTTGAATATTATGGAAAATATAATAAATCGGGACAATGTCCAGGTCCATTTGCAAAGTTCCTCGAGGAACATGGCATATGTGCACAGTATACTATGCCAGAAACACCTCAACAAAATGGTGTTGCAGAAAGGCGTAATCGAACACTTATGGATATGGTTAGGAGCATGATGAGTAATTCCTCATTACCCAAATCATTGTGGATGTATGCTCTTAAAACTGTTGTATATTTATTAAACAGGGTTCCTAGTAAGGCAGTTCCAAAGACCCCTTTTGAATTGTGGATAAGAAGAAAACCTAGTTTAAGGCACATGCATGTTTGGGGTTGCCCAGCGGAAGCTAGAGTTTATAATCCACAAGAAAAGAAATTAGATTCTCGAACAGTAAGTGTTTACTTTATTGGTTACCCAGAAAAATCTAAAGGGTATGTGTTTTACTGTCCAAATCATAGTTCGAGAATTGTTGAAATCGGTAATGTAAGATTCATTGAGAATTGTGAAATTAGTGGGAGTGTTGAAAAGCAAAGTGTGGAAATAAAAGAGGTGAGGGTCAATATTCTATTACCCACGAATGTGCTTACTTCCACACAAATACCAAATATTATTCCAGTTGTTGAAGAACACTTTGACAACACCGAGCAATATTTGGATGAAACACTTCATGAAGAAACTGACTCACAAATATTTGACACAAATGAACCACAAGAAATGCCATCAAGAAAATCTCAAAGAGTTAGAAAATCGGCTATTTCGGATGATTACGTGGTTTATTTGCAAGAGTCAGATTTTAACATTGGTCTTAATAAGGATCCGATTTTATTTTCACAAGCCATAGAAAGTAACGAGTCTGACAAATGGATTGATGCCATGAAGGAAGAGCTAAAATCCATGGAATACAAATAAGTTTGGGATCTCGTTGAATTGCCAGAAAGTTCTAAAAGAATCGGATGTAGATGGGTCTTTAAGACCAAACACGATTCAAATGGCAATATTGAACGATACAAAGCCAGACTTGTTGCCAAGGGTTATACTCAGAAAGGAGGCATTGATTATAAAGAGAGCTTTTCATCGGTCTCAAAGAAAGACTCGTTAAGAATTATTATGGCTTTGGTGGCTCATTATGATTTAGAGTTACACCAAATGGATGTGAAAACTATCTTTGTTAATGGAGACCTCGAAGAGGAAGTTTATATGGACCAACCAGAGGGTTTCGAAACTAAAGACAAATGGTGTGTAAACTGAAGAAGTCAATATATGGACTTAAACAAGCCTCACGACAATGGTGTATAAAGTTTAATGATACCATAACATCTTTTGGATTTATGAAAAATACCGTTGATCGGTGTATATATCGAAAGATCAGTGGAAGCAAGTTTATATTTTTAGTCCTATATGTTAATGATATTCTACTTGCTGCTAATGATTCAGGCATATTGCGTGAGACTAAAGATTTTCTCTCTAAGAATTTTGAAATGAAAGATATGGGTGAGGCATCCTATGTGATAGGAATAAAAATATTCCATGATAGATCACAAGAATTATTGGGATTTTCTCAAAAAGGCTATATCGAAAGAATTCTAGAGAGATTTAATATGAACAATTGTTCAGCCGGAATTGTTCCAATTCAAAAAGAGGACAAATTTAGTCTCATGCAATGCCCTAAGAATGATGTAGAACGAAAGAAAATGGAATCAATTCCTTACCCTTCAATTGTTGGTAGTCTAATGTATGCTCAGACTTGCACAAGACCAGATATTAGTTTTATGGTCGGAATGCTAGGAAGATATCAGAGTAACCCAGGAATTGATCACTGAAAAGCTGCAAAGAAAGTTTTGAGGTACCTGAAAGGAATGAAGGATTACATGCTCATGTATAGGAGATCCAAGCATTTGGAAGTTGTTGGATACTCGAATTCAGATTTCGGTGGATGTATTGACACTAAAAAATCCACGTTTGGTTATTTGCTCCAATTAGCTGAAGAAGCAATATCGTGGAAGAGTGCCAAATAGTCTGTCATTGCTACATCCACGATGGAAGCAGAATTTGTGGCATGTTTTGAAGCCACAATTCATGAATTATGGCTGCGAAACTTTATTTCAGGACTTGGGGTTGTCAACACCATTACCAAGCCGCTGAAAATTTACTGTGATAATTCTGCAGCAGTATTCTTCTCCAAGAACGATAAGTACTCCAAAGGTGCCAAACATATGGAATTAAAGTACTTTACCGTCAAGGAGGAAGTTCAGAAACAAAGAGTGCCACTTGAGCATATTAGAACTGATCTCATGATTGCAGATCCATTAAAGAACATGTACATAGAATGGGTCTTGGTTGTATTTATAATTGATGTATTTATGATGTTTTGACACTCTGAGCTCATTTATATGTTTCTCATAATGGTGTACACATTATTGTTTTGAGATGTTACAGGATAAGTCTCAATGAGACATTATTCTGGACCATAACATTTTATAGCTTATGGACCTGGTACGATGAGTTGCTAATGTTGTAGTATATAGAAGGGAGTATGTAGACAAATTATATACAACCGCCATAACTCACATT